TATGCGGGTTCTGCGTCTGCTGCAACGTGCTCGGTCACCATTGCCGGAAAAAGGGCATCTGCTAGTACGGACATGCAAACCAGCTAGATGAAACTCAATAATTTTGCTAAAATCGTTCATACTTTTTTTAAAAATTTTTATTAGTCGCGCTTTACCAGTATTCGAGAAGGGCAAGTACATAATGTATACATAAGTCTAAGTGCCAAATACGGCCCATTTGCATTGAATAACCAAATGTACATAGACATTGATAAGCTTATGTAGGAGGTGGCTTAACACACACCAATGTGCAACTAGACAGGAGACACACATAACGTAAATACTTCCACGTGCATCTACGCACCACTTAATTTGCATTTTCTTAGTAGCAAAGTCATCTCTTGTCCCAATGCAGGCCAAATGTGCTGCAATTACGCGACCATACGACATCACGATCAAGCTTAACTGAAGGCACAAAAATACAGGGAGATAATTGGTGAAAATAAACGCAGAGATAAAGCAATCTATAAGGGATGCCTACAATGGGCAAAACAGGAGATCGGAGACACCACCTAAGTGCCAGCGTACACTACGTGACAAAAGATGAGTGCGAAGAATTTCGACACATCTTGTGTTTAAGTCACGGAGTTAGCAATTGAGTACATAGCACTACATAATTGTCTACACCGGCGCACTTATGTCTCTAGAAAGTAGTTGCAGCAAAACGGGGGGCATATATATGACGATGAGTCAAAAGGCCCGGTGGTCAGCAAAGCAGAAGCAAAGGTGGGCAACTAAAGATCCCACGGTAGCCAAAGTATTGACAAAGTGGCGATTGAACATGGAGAATGTATTTCACAAAAAAACTTAATCGCGTCGTAATGGGAACGATAAACGTTGGATGCCAGAAGCTGTGATGACATCGATCACAACTGAATCACCACAATAAATGTCACGTTCCGCGGCGCTTATAAAAATATCTTTCGCAAGGCGAATGGCCGCATCCTTTTCCAACAGGGCACAATCCGCTACAAGATCACGGTTACCGATCTATTGATAATGTAAGTAATATATTAGCGATAATTACCTGACTGTCCATAAAAGGTTGCACAATGACACCGCTGGTACCACATGCGCTGTAAACCTCTCTTTTGTACGAGCCAACAGGGTCATACGAGTAAATGGCCCCCTTACCATTTTCATCAATGCCCGCCAAAATCGTACTGACATAAAACGGGAAGAACCTCCGGGAATATAAGGATACTGACACCAAATTAGCGAACGCTGTAAGAGATATGTCTTTTTTGTGGTGATAACGGTAATCCTAGAATTTGTTTTAATAATAAAAAATAATAAACCTTAATCCGTGACTCCAGCAATTTGGTAAATGTAAGGACGTCACCGTGAAATCCGGTCATACACATTCGGAGATAAGGCGTACTAACGGCAATAAAGTAAACGAAAATTTACACTTCGTAGATATGCGGTGTCTGGCGAGAAAATAATAGCCCCGCATTTTCATCCGTGAGTCGCGTATCCGAGGCTACCAATGCATAGTCCTTGCCTGAAATACCGAGGGCAGTGCTACATAAATAATTAGGGACAGTAATATATACTTACCCGCCATTTTGAGTGTAAGGACTGAAACTCATCACTGGAAATTAACTACACAGGTCAGACACTAAAGAAAAGGTGACCAATAAGACATCAGTAACGTTCGATAGAAAAAGAAACAAATAAAAAACTTAAATATATTGATGAACCTTAAATTAAGTACGAACAGTTAGAAAGCAAGAAAAATTGTACAATCTACGTGAATTTAGGGAAAAGGGAAAAAAGCGCGAAAAACTCACAAAGCAGTCTACTACTTAAAAGCCAGGAATCCTGATTAAATTCACAATTGCTTAGTGGAAAATTTTAAAAAGCGCAAAGCAATACAGGTAGCTAAAACAAAATAATGCATTAACAAAACACAAACGCAACTGCTCCTTAAAACCAATTTATAATATTAAAAAATCACAAAATAATAGAAAAAGCATCATAAAACCACTGATAAAGCGCATGGCACAAGCCTTTGCGGAAGCTTGGAGTGATGATTGCTAAAATAACTACTTTTGTGGCCACTCGATCATCACGGGACATTCCGAT